GGGAGAGGGTGCATTCGCACGCGAAAATTTAAATAATTAAACGCAAATTGCATCCCTCTGCCTCGGCAGGTATTTATATTTTAATAATTAGAGCAACAGAGAAGACAAATGAAACTACTGTACCTCGTGGAAGAGACGGCAAAGGGGCTTCCGAGTGCGCCTACGCAATAGTTAAGTACGTTGACTTGTGATGAGATTCTTCAAGATGGCGACTGGGATGTTATGGCGATAGGGTGGCGGGGGGAGGCTAGGGTGGTAATTTGCGTTTAATTATTTAAATAAATGTATGCCGTGACGAGGACGTTCGTTACCAGGCAAATGAGTGAAACGGTAACACGCGAACCCTCTACGCTTTTGTGCCGCATTATATGTACCTTGGTAGCTTTGTACCTATATGCGCCTAGTAGGCCTATTATCATCACTCACGATCCTACCGATAGTAACGTTTTCTTGGAAAGCACTATAACCACACGCACCTAAACCCTCTATAAGTATACCGAGTAATGTACAACAGTTCGCGGTCGCTTTTAGAATTATTCTTTCGCAAGTCGCATTATTAACTGTGGCATTTTTGCACTGACGTGACCCCGCTAAATAACACGTGAACAGCTGTCACGAATTTACCTGTTGCGAAGACGATTCGAGAACGCGAAATTAATCGGATTTTAATCATAGTCATGTTAATAATTTAATAATTTTTTTTTGCGAGTTTTGTGTTAAAATTTTGCAAAATTGCAATTTATTTAAATTATATAATATGATTATATAAATATTATTTTATGGCTTGTAATTGTAGTACCGTAAAGACGATATGTGCTGTAGACGGATATGTACGATGGATATATTGACATTCGAAAATTCGCAAAGTTCGCATAAGACGGTTACGGGAAAGTGGCGAAATTTAAAATTCCGCCTGTCAGCCGGTATAGAAAGGACGATACTGGGGACATTCAAATGATGCAATTTATTCAAATCGCTATAACAATAATGTTTGAAGGCTACGCGGGTGGCTAGTCAATTCGCAAAAGGCAAGACTGTATATCGATATGCGCGATCGCGAGGCACATTATGGCACATGTAAATTCTATGCGAAAGTCATTTTCCTTATTGATGTGTGAGGTCGTGAAGGAACGTCCATAAAATATTTAGAGAAATCGACTTGTTGTTTATTCTGGATATCTGGGTGAAATTTATAGCAATACGAGAGATTGATAATTTATTGTAGGGAGTTAGATTAGCTGGGCCGATTGGGTCGAATTGACTGCGCGAATAATTAGTTACGTGTTAAGGAACCGTGGAAAAATTATAGACAAAAAATTAGCATCGAAGTACTTTCCCACGAGGGAAAGTCATTATTTTCACGTAAAACATTTTCGATTCGATTCTGTTGCGAAACTAACGGCTCTACTTGATAGGCATGTATATGGTATAGATATACATGGAAAAAGTACGGGGCATCGCGCGTGATCGCGATCTAGAATGGATCCAACGATCTCACCTGCATATACACGATCATTGATCATTGACTGTAATGCATATTGAATTTGTATACGTATAAATTAAACACATTAAAACTGTACAACGGGCTATTATTAATAAAATAAAGTTATGGAAAATTTAATCGATTTCACAAATAGGTAATAAAATTTTTCATAGAGTATATCCATCTCTCTCTTACGCACGCGAATCCCGATAAAACTGTCTCTCTCGCACTCGTGGCAAGTATACGAAGATGGAAAATCAATGATGGTCGTTCGAAAAATTTTAATCAAATTGATCGCTGATCAATATACTCCTGTGACGGTGAACGAATACAAAAGATGCATCTGGCCTGCATCTCTGGTCCATGATGGCATGCAAGCGTGTATGCATGCTAAAAATATCCATACGTTAAGGCAAAGTAGAAATGGGACTACCGGATGGTTCGGAAGACAGATGAGAAAGCGAGAAGAAAAAAGGAATAACGAGGAGGGACGAATAGGCGAAGAAAAAAAAAGCAATGTAAGAAGAAGAGGAATAAAAGAGGCGTCCATTGCCGGAGGCGTCGCGGCGAGAGCGTCTCGGGAGCCTTCACGAATAAAACCATATTATTAGGCGTCTACCAGCGGCAAACCACCCGCAACTA